TCCTGTGTCAGGGCCGTCTTAACAGCATAGTGGTCCTGTGTCAGGGCCGTCTTAACAGCATAGTGGTCCTGTGTCAGGGCCGTCTTAACAGCATAGTGGTCCTGTGTCAGGGCCGTCTTAACAGCATAGTGGTCCTGTGTCAGGGCCGTCTTAACAGCATAGTGGTCCTGTGTCAGGGCCGTCTTAACAGCATAGTGGTCCTGTGTCAGGGCCGTCTTAACAGCATAGTGGTCCTGTCCAAAAGCGTATCCGGAAATTTGTTTGAAAGAAATTTCGTCGACGGAAAATTGATCGACGGAAGTTTGGTCGAATTATTTTTTTTTTCAGTTCATACGCTAAAACTTTCGGTCAAAATTCTTTTTTAACGCATTATTTTGTTTTTCTATATAGTGCGTTCAAAAAGAAATTTGACAAAAATTGGATCGAGTGAACTGACGAAAAAAATACATTAAACAAAAAAATGGCGGGGGGCGGGGGATAGAAGAGGAAGATTCAGGCGCTTGGGATGAAAGGTAGGGAATCTATCAACGCCAAAATTAGGCGGATGGTCGCATAGGATCAGCACTAACTCTGGCGCCCCTACATATGATCAGCACTAACTCTGGCGCCCCTACATAGGATCAGCACTAACTCTGGCACCCCTACATAGGATCAGCACTGACTCTGGCGCCCCTACATAGGATCAGCACTAACTCTGGCGCCCCTACATAGGATCAGCACTAACTCTGGCGCCCCTACATAGGATCAGCAATAACTTTGGCACCCCTACATAGGATCAGCACTGACTCTGGCGCCTCTGCATATGATCAGCACTGACTCTGGCGTCCACCTACATACATAAACAAATTTAATCCGGTTGGGGTGACCCTTGAAGGTATGCTTTTTGGTCCCAGCTTAGTTTCGCCCATATATATCTATAAAATAGTTTTTGCTTTAGCTTGAGATGGAACTCGACTCCACACAAACTAGTGGATTTGAGTTCAATCTCAAGCAATTGAGAGAAAAACATCACCAGCACCCCCGGGTTGATGGGACTCGTTACCCTTGGGTGGCAACTCATCAAACTCTGATATCAAACCCGGAGATGGAGTCCCGTAGGCGATATGACATTGACACGATCGAAATTCCGACAACCTCTACGACGTAGAACGCATAAAGAACACAGTGAAACGAAGAAGACATCACACTGCTGGTCTTCTACTGCATCCTGGTCTATTTCGGGTCGTCCTGGCAAGGTCTTGCCATGGGATCAAATAGGCGAGGACGAAATAGTGAGGCTGTCGAATCGAGCCACGTTCACTCACTTTAAACATAATACAGCTCAAGTCAAGGCTAGTACTCAAGTCAAGGCCACTACTCAAGTCGAGGCTACTACTCAAGTCAAGGCCACTACTCAAGTCGAGGCAACTACTCAAGTCAAGGCCACTACTCAAGTCAAGGGCACTACTCAAGTCAAGGCCACTACTCAAGTCGAAGATTTCCTGGCCATCATCGCTTGGGAAGAGCAAGCAATTTATGTATATACCAAACTAGAGTAAAATCATACTTTTGTTAGTTCAAGAAAATCATTTTTGTTTTACTATACAGTATAGTGCGTTCAAAAATAAATTTGACGAAAATTTTAACGTGTGAACTGAAAAAAACACACCAAAGATTCGACCAAATTTCCGTTCGATCAAATGTCCGTCGATCTATTTACCATCGACGAAATGTCAAATAAATTTCCGGTAAACTATTTTTGGCAGTCTCACTATCATCTCTCTTTCTTCTTACCCCCCCTCCCCCCCCAACACGCACACACTATTTAACGTTTTTGTTTTCTTAATTTGAGGTGTTTTTTTTATTGTGTGGAGTAAAGGTGATATGGGGGCCCGTCCATAAGGTACGTCACGCTCCGAGAAAAATGGTGGGGGGGGGGGCAGAAGAGGAAGACGTTATGTGACACATTATATATATGTATATTATATTATCATAAAAATAAAACCTGACATTGACAGTGTTTTTCAACTTACAGTTGTGATGCGTGTATTCTGACAGACGATGACGTCACTTTTATAAATTTAACAGTTTAAGAGTGAAAGTGTTTTTGTGTTAAATTTTAATGAGTTGATAAACATTTTAAGACATTTTTTTTTTATTTCGAAAGTGTGACGTATTTTAGGGGGGCGGGGGGTCTGAGATTGTGACAGGGTCTGAGATTGTGACAGGGTCTGAGATTGTGACAGGGTCTGAGATTGTGACAGGGGAGGGGGGTAATTTTTTTATATTTTTTTTTCAAATTGCGTGACGCACTTTATGGCCCTAATTATACATCACCTATGGTTCGTTTATTAACTTATACTTTATTTCAGTTGCCCAATCATCTTTGCGATGTTATCTATGAATAATATATTACCGGTACCCACATGTTCTACCGGCTTCCCAAACTCAGAGTTTTGGTCTACTAAAGTTACTTGACGAAAAAGGCATTCAAGGAACGCACTTTATAATAAAACCATTTAGTGCTGCGCACCCCCCCCCTCCCTTTTTCCAGGGTAAGCCAGCACACACTTTTTTTTTGTACGCCCCTGAACTATACAGTGGCGTAGGAAGGGGATGGTCCACAACGGGCGGCAATCTGTTTTTCTTTTTCTGGGTGGTCGGCAATTTCAGTTAACACAGTTAATTGCAGAGGTTTTTTTTTATGTCGAAGCAGGGCCGGCGCTAGACATTTTTAGGTTGGTGAAAAAAAAAATGCCATTGTCACCCTTTGGAAAATTATGGGAAGAGTTCGGAATTTAATATTATTATTATTTTTTTTTTTTAAACAAATTTTGCCGCCTTGGCGCCTGTGTGATTGTGATGATCACGCATCGTACCCGCCTTGAGCCGGCCCTGTGTGGAAGGGCGCGGCAAAAATCTTGCACTAAACCTAGATACGCCACTATGACTATAAACTATAATAATGTTTTAATGTCCCAGCCATGGGCGCCCGCATAAAACTTTCTAGGGGGGGGGGCAAAAAATCGATTAACTTTCCAGGGGGGGGGTCAAAACATTGTTAGTAATGTTTTAATATAGTTTTAATTTACTGTAGCGTATTTGTATGGTGAACGAACGGACAGGACATCAGCTTAGTTACTTTCTCTTTATTNGGGGGGGGGGGGGCCCAGGCCCCCCCCCCCCCGCGGGCGCCCATGGTCCCAGCACCTTTTTTAAATCCTTAATATTACCTTCGCTTTTGTTCGTGGGTGGCTGACTGGCAAAATCTTCGGACGGCTATTTGACTAATTGATTAACCATCTATTGGTATAATATAATATAACTTTTAATATATATATATATATATATATTATAATAATAAATATATATTCTAAACAATATATTTGCATGTGTGATTTTGTTATCATATGAGGATTAAAATATACATAAATGATTATGAACAGCATTTAGTTGGTATTTATTATTATTTTTTTTTATATGTGAAATGATATGTGGTGTCATGTGGCCCGCAAAGAGTTGACTGGCCATCAAAATAGCCCGCGAGGCCATTTTGGTTTGCCATTCCTGCACCTGCTTTAAAAGAATATTTGACCCTCAAGAAAACAGCAAAATATTTACCAAATTATAGTTCTATAATTTAAAAACTATTACTTGTTAGAAAATATAATAACGCAATTTTATTACTATTTGTAGACGTAAAAACACAAACTCTGCTTCTTAAAATAAGGATGTGTACAGCACAGCCTGAATTTATTATGTTAACTAGGTATTAGTCCATTCCGGTGAGAACTAGCTTTAGGCCCCGCCTACTTTTTTATTATGTTGACACCGACTATTTATAGTTACACATGGTCTGTACTGCGTAGCCGCAGCACAAACATTTGGCTTCATGTTTTTAATTGTGCGCGACAAAATAACTTTTCAAAAACAAAATAAGTATTTAACTTAGATACAGAAATTAAAAATTAAATTAAGTCTTGAGATATTGTATTTTCGTTTTTTGTACGCCAGCATAAGAACACCATAGTCCACAGAGAAACGAAACAAGTGCACATTATTTTTTTAAAAGACAAATGAAATGACGTTAACTTTTTTTGCCAGGTTGCCAGCTTGTATTTTAATATATAAATCTGCTTTCAACGTGACATTCTTCTGGCAACCACTGATGATTCGTAATTTATCTAATTTAGTTGTATTGTCTTTTCAAATAACACTTCTACATACAATTTGGAGGCTAGTGTTGCCCCAATTGACACCACGAATTGATTATAACAAAAAAAATTATTCCATGTAATAAAACCCTTAAAAAAAATACTAATTGCATATAATTTATCCGGTTCTAAATGATTACTAATTAAAGCTAGTCAAGCAATGGGGGTGGACAATCTTGAACTTCACATCTAATAAAGTTACATGACAAAAAGTGTATTCAAAATACGCATTTTATAAGAATTCCTATTTATGATGCCCCCACCCCAAGGTATTTTACCGCACACATTTTTTATCACGCATCAAATATACTAAAAGTCTAATGACCGACCCACTTTTACACTGCACATTTATTACACCATATTTAATATGAGACTATTTCTATGCATTCGTAGGAATATTATATATTTATATCAGTTCAAAAGTAGCAAAAATAAATTACAAGATACTATTCAATCATTTAAAATTAACAATATAAAAAATAAATCATTAGCTGGCATTTCTTATTTAAATTGCTACGCACTGGGGCGCCACAAGAAATCCACTCAACAAGCATCCAATTTTTGGTCACCCCAACCCCCTGAAAAAACTGAAATGATGTCCCTTCTCGATAGTTCAACCAAATGTAAGCATATACGTAAATATGTAATAATCATCCCACCAGATATCTCTACATCGTAAATCTTACACGGTACACATTCTTTCACGTGATGAACCAATGGGGCAGTAAGTGGGTGTCTTCTTAAATGTCATGGACTATTTTTTAGTTTGCCTTGTAACTGCTGTTCGTACCTGGCCACAATTTACAGACTATATAAAAGCCTTGCCGTGAATGGTACGTTCAAGTTTCTCTCGTAGCTCGTTCATCACCCATCTGGCGCACTGGAGTCGTCAAGCTGTCAACTGTTTTTCTTTCTGACTTGGCCTATAAGCTTTAAAAATTACGTCCATACAAAATAAAGAAGCTCAGTCTGAAGCTTCTGTTGAGGTAAGAGATTTCCTATTTCTTGTATTTTGAATTTTAAAATGCTTAGGGACGATGTGGTCTTAATAATACTCAACCTTGTGAAGGCTTGTGATAGGGCGGCTTCAGAACATAAAAATGAGAAATGGATAGGTCTAATTCTAATGATTGAGGTTCTTTTGGGCCTTGTTTGAAAATTCATTCCCCTTGTGTCGGCAACCAGTCAATATTACTAATATAATACTTCCATACAACGTTTATTTCAAAGAGATTCGGAACTCAACGTAATGGTAAGACATACATCTGGCAACCATTTAAAATATTTGAAACGCAGTACGTGGCTATGACCGCCATGGCATAAGTTGCCATTAAGTATAAGGATCATGTTAATGTTATTTTAAATAGCCTGCACTCAACTTAACTGAAGACTAATCTGTCTCGCTTAGTTATGTTTAACTCCATCTCTCCATATAGTTTACCTAAAACTCTACTTCCTCATACATTGTCGTTTTAGATGAAGATGGAATAACATTGTAATGACTATGAATAATGACTCTTACTTATAACTTATGACATTTGTATTTGAATTTGAAACAGCTTCACACTCTGAAATTAAGGATATGTAAAGTCTGTGACTAAGTTACTAACTCTAAGTAGTACAATTTTTTATAATCTACCACTTGAGCGTCAGCCAAGAAAAAATCCAGCTGTTCCGGATGGAAGGGCTATTTAAACGTAACTATTATTTATTATTTTTAATGACATTGGTTGTACGTATTCATTCCCATAATAATAATTTTTTTTAAATAGAAAAACTATAACAATTTTTTTGAAATAGACAATGTGTGAAAATGGAACTATGCATAGTTCTCCCCCAAGTTGACAATGAAGTTTTAAAATCTATAATTTCCACAAAAACGGTTGTTACATGAATCCACGTAAATATGCAGGGGAAAGATCACAGACGCTTCTTGTGCCAAACTGTCTTTTTAGTTAACGCTTTCTGAGCATTCACGTTTTCCACATTCTGTGTGTGGACAACCGCGTTATCTGGATTAAAAAAAAATAATTGTAGCATATCAGTAGCTTGGCAGTAATAATTATTTAAATATATTATTGTGCTATATAACTTTATAGCCTCTATACGGAAGCAAAAATATTAACAGACTCCAATGTAAGAATAATTGTTTAAATAGCCCTTCCAACCGGTACAACTGGATTTTTTTCTTGGCCGACGCTCAAGTGGTAGATTACCCAATTTTTAACTGAGCCTAAATACCAAAATTTCACAAATACAAATTTGTGAGGCCTAGATGAGTTTCCAGATTTTTCTGGAATTATGGAAGTGACATTTTATTCAATGCGCTGGGAGTGACTGGTAGATGTTTATGGTAATATTTAGGCCCAACAAAAAAATGTAATGTCACTACACTTTTCGTCTACCAAAACAAGGGCAGTGTGAAATTTAGCAAGAATTAAAACCAAACACTGGTTTGCAATTAAATTTTAAATGTTCATACCCCTGAACTAAAGTTGGTTAATGGAAAGTTTTATGAAAACTCTTTAACAGTACTCAGTACAGATAATACTGTTTTAGCTGTAATTTTTTCAATCAAATCTAAGACTAGTGTTGCAAATGAAACAATGAATTCGTTTTACAATCATATTGTCTGTCCAATGCCCAATATATTTTCTGTCCCAATCCCAAACAGTGCGGAATATTCTGTACTATCTAGTTCAGGTAAATTTTGGGTTAGTATGCTTTTTTTCCCCAAAAGTTGTCTGCCCCTAAGCGCAGTGATATCACTTTGTGATGTGAACTCCATCACTGGACCTGAGTACTTAGATCTATTGTTTGACCTGAACGATGTATGGGATAACTTGCCAGTTTTTTCACAAAATAAAAGTATTCTTCTGGGGAGCAGACCCCCGGACCGACACCGACCCCCCCCCCGAAAATTAGAACAAAAACTGACTGCATCAAGTAAACACAAAGGTACCAATCCAAATCTGAAATCTTTTGAGTACAGAGCCATAGACCATGCGGTATCTATAAAACCTCTATGAAATATATTCTTTGGATAATATCTCCAGCTTTACCACTAATCCTAAATCAGCCCTACTTTATATTATAATGCTATGTAAAGTATGTATGTATGCATTTACTGGTGTTATATAAGTGTAATTTATAAACAGTCGGCATTAATAACTCACTGTAAAAATCTCAGTTTGTAGATTACCAGAATGTAAAAGTAAATTGATCTCTTACAAAAAATTTTTTTTCGTAAAACCTGAGGTTTAGAACCGGATTTTACCAGATTTTAAAAGGCTTGAGGATATGTTAATATGCTTTGGAAATTTATTTCCTTTTTGTATTAAAACTTAGGTCATGTTATAATAAACCAAAAGTACCAATAAAACATTTTGTACCAGATGTCTGTTATTTGTTGGTCCCAATATAATCAGTTGTAATCAACAGTTCTCTTTTTATTATTTAGAAGTTTGTTGTTTATATATTCTGAGAGTATTATTTCCCTTTTATCAATTTAAACTTAACCAGAATGAACTATTATACCTGCCACACTTTAAGTTAATTTTAATGAGTAGACTAGGTTTGAGGTTGAATTGAACTACGCAACAGCCATGTTTTGGATACTCCTGTTCACTTTCATGGCCTTGTACAGTGTTATTTGGGAATCACTGTACAATTATTTATTTTTATACTTGCTCTGTTGTTTCTCAATTAATATTATCTTATACAATTTTTTTTTCACTTTCAACTTACAGGGCAGTAGCTCGACTGTCTTCTTCAGCCAAAGTCCAGAGGCCGCTTGTGGAATAAGGAGGAGATTCAATTTTAACGCCGAACCGCCGTGGGATCCCAGCTAGTATCTGTTGAACGCAGGCGTTTCCTTGGGCCAGGTAATATAACACGTGGCTATTTTAAGAAATTAGTTATTTTGAGCTGTACCTTTCAAATAGCAAGGCCAACGTTTTAGTCATTCAAAGACCATCACACTATTCAGCCTATACATGCCATTACATAATCCAAACACATTATTAAAGCTTCATCATGGCTATTTTGAATTTCATTTCTATTTCAGATTGTTTGTACAACCCCGACTTGTTTCTTTTAGTCTAGTGACTTTGTATTTCAAATAATTACCATGAAGCATAAGTATTCATCCATTTCATCTGTTGAAATCATTGCTGACCCCATGCCCTGCATGACCCAGCTAATTCAAGACAAGATTGAGCAGTTTGAGAGCAGAGTAAGCATTTTTTTTTTTTTAGCTTGTCAAACTTGCTTATGTACGAGTTAGCTTACTTACATTTAAACTTAATATGTTTATCTAATCCCAGATAGAATCTTTTTACAAAACAACTTAAAAAATGGAATGCTAACCATACATTATATGGGAAAGGAAATTATATTCCATTTGCATATTTGAATCATTTTTAACGTTTAAGAGAAAGCAGGACGTTAGAGAGAATGCTAGGGTTTGTTGGATACTTAAGAAAAATTAAATGATCAGAATCTTAAATTTAGTTGTTTAATTTGGCACCTGTCATGGCTGTTTATTTTATTCCCACCAAATAAGATTTTTTTTAAAATTTATATTAACCTAGTTTTGATTTTCATTTTGTTATTGGATTTTTTATCCATTTCACTTAAAGGTTAAAATGGTTTGTTGTATTTAATTTTTTTTTTTTTGTTTTAGGATTGTGAAGATGCCTTCTGTGTGTGTGATGTTGGTGATGTTGTGAATAAGTTCAAGGCTTGGAAGGAGCTGCTCCCAAGAGTAGAGCCATTCTATGGTAAGCTATATATTTTTATTCACTTTTTGTTACATCTTGAGCATCCATCTTGAAGTTCAACTGATAAATTTTTTATTAAGGGCTCATCAATTCCTTTTTTTTTTAGCCTGCTGGCATCAGTAGAAGTAACTCAGTATATGACTTGTCGAGAGTTGCATTTTTTTTTTTTTTTTTAATTAAAAAAAAATAAAAAAATTGCAATTAAGACTACAGTAAAAGTAACTCAGTTTATGACTTGTCTGAGTTGCATTTTTTGTGTGTTGGCCTGAAGATAATGGTATGTTGACGTAATTGTCAAGTCTTGAATTTAAGTAAGCTTGATCATTTCAAGTTATATTCCATTGATTAATGCAAGCTTTAGATCAGGTTTTAGATTTGTATTTGATAGCACATTAATTTTACCCGTATTACTGGTAAGGACATAACAAGCTTTTGGAATTTGATATTTCTCTTTGGTACAAGTAGACTGCAATTTGTGGGAAGGTAATTTTCCCGAAAAGTAAACATTATATTCTGGCTAATGTACTTCAAAATTGTATTCAAAGGACTTGATGGGCCCTCAGATCAGTTTTTCGTTATACTTATAATTCTTTTTATACACGGCCAGTTGTTGACCAGTCCAGTTGGCCAGAGCTTGTAGGGTTTAACCTCCCATAACTTGATGTTTGCTCGCTGCTATGGAGCTAATAGCCATGCTCTTTCAAAGTCTTCAGATAATCAACTGTTAAGGACCAGAATCACATCAGGTTTACCATCTACCTCCTCTATCTCTCATTGCTTTTTCATCCTGTTTATGTATGTCATTTCATTTTTGTGCATTTTGTTCTTTATTAATGTATGAAAGTGGTGCATTTGTAGTTTTAATATAAAATAAATGACTTTTTTTACAAGGTTTCAACTAAATGATTGGATTTGGCTGAAGGACCATTGTGTCTTGATGATTATGTATTGATTAAACTTCATGCAACTTCTTGGACCAATTCAGATGATTAAATAAAGCACTTGGCCAAAATTGTTAGCGTTATTTTTTTTTTTATTATGTACTGTAAGTGTAACTGAAGACTGAACGCTGTCTTATTTTTTTATGTGAATAAATGTAGCATCATCTCATGCCTTGAAGACGTACGTTAAAGTAAGGATGCTTGTCTCTCCTACAGTGATATGCTTTGTTTATTTTAGCTTGCAAGTGCAACACTGATGAAGTTGTTGTCAAGACCCTTGCAGATCTTGGTGCTGGATTTGATTGTGCCAGCAAGGTAATTATATTTATTTTAAAAAATCATTTATTTTTAGGTATGCTGAAATAACTGCGCATCTGTTTCAGATTTTTGTCTTGTTTGTTTATGAAGTCCTGGTATTTTGTTCATAGTATTCTTAAAATGCTAACAAGTGTTATTCGTTTATTTATAGGGGGAAATCTCTCAGATCCTAAAGCATGGAGTTCCTACAGAGCGCATAATTTATGCCAATCCTTGCAAGCAGAAATCCTTTATAAAGTATGCAGCCAAACATAATGTTGATATGATGACCTTCGATAATGAGGCTGAGCTTGTCAAGGTTAAAGAACTTTACCCAACTGCAAAGTAAGTTAAAATTATTTATTTGTTTCCATAATTTTGTATTGCGTCAAGTCCCTCAACTATTGTTCATCCATTTGTTACTCAATTTCAGGATGGTTTTGCGGATCCTACCCGTATCCGATGTCAAGGTGCAGTGTAATCTGGGAGTTAAATTTGGTTGCCACCCCAACAATGTTGCCAAGCTACTGAAGAAAGCCAAAGAGCTTGACGTAGATGTCATGGGCGTAAGGTGTGATTTTTTTTTTTTAATATATTTAAAAAAATATTTTTTAAAAACTAAATTCAATTATTTCACATCAAATGATGGGGCAAATTACACTGCATTCTTTAACTGAGTTTATAATTTCTGCAGTTTCCATTGTGGTAGTGGTGTCCAGGAAGCTAGAGCGTTTTCTCTGGCCGTCAGTCAAGCTCATGACGCATGGCAGATTGCAGTAAAACTAGGATTTAACATGACCATGCTCGATATAGGTGGTGGCTTCCCAGGCCAGAAATCAGCTCCTATTTCTTTCACTGAGGTAAGTTATTAATTTCTCAGTTAGAAGCCTTTTTTTTCCTACACATCTCACAAAATTTTAGGCTAGGTTACTTCTTACAAAGTGCCTTGTCAATTATTACCAATCTATTTTTTATTTTCAGATTGTAAGCATTCTCAATGATGCTCTAGATACCTACTTCCCAGCAGAGATGGGAATTCGCATCATTGCTGAACCTGGTCGATATTTTGTGGCATCTGCCTATACCTTGGCAGTAAATATCATTGCCAAGAGGACTGTTGCACGGGACATCTCGGATGCTGGTCAGTATTTTTTTCCTACTGATTATAATTATTTTTTCATGTTTTTTAATATTTTAAATCTTTGTGTCGTTCACTTAATATTTTAAATCTTTGTGTCGTTCACTTAATATTTTAAATCTTTGTGTCGTTCCCTTAATATTTTCAATCTTTGTCTTGACCAGATGGTTGCAACCAACAGGGAGTGACCAAGAATGATGAGCCTTCCCATATGTACTATGTTAATGATGGTGTTTATGGATCGTTCAACTGCATTATGTATGATCATGCCCATGCTGAGGCTCACGTTTTCTCGGTGAGTTTTGGATTTCAGTTCTTATTTTTTATTACCATCATTCCCGATGGATGTTACTTAATGCGCCATTTGCTGCTCGTTCCCGGGGCGTAGCTACACACCTCATTAACTTTATAGAAGCTATCCCTCGAGACTGATTGGGCTTGATTTCAGTTTTAAAATCTGAAGTTGTCTCATTTCACTTTCAGTTTGTGTGTGGTTTGGTACGTTGTATATGTCTAGATCTAGCATGTATTCGTCTATGTTCCATTATCCATTTATTGGTCCCTGTTCATTATTTTTTAAGCCTTAAATGTGTTTATTTTTCAAACTTAATTTCTATTTATCCATATTCATTATGTCATATTTGGCAGCTTAAATATTTTTTTTACAAATGTATGTCGGTTGCAAAATGGAGTTACTTTCCCTTGTCAGGCATATAAGTTATATGTGGAAGTAGCACTGCCATTGGGATTGAGTTAAACATATGTTGAAATAGAATGTTTTCATTTATTCTTGTAGGACTCTCCATTGAGGTTCACATCTTCTGTATGGGGTCCTACCTGTGATGGTCTGGACTGTATCATACAGGAATGCCGCTTGCCAGAGATGGAGGTGGGTCAATGGATGTATTTCCCTGACATGGGGGCCTATACCATAGCTGCAGGCTCAACCTTCAATGGCATGCCACGACCAACCATCCATTACATCTGTAGCCAGGAGATCTGGTAGGTGTTGCTCGATGTTCCATGTTTTTCTAGTCAAGGTGTCAACTAGATTCAATTTTAAATTTGCTAGCATCAGTCTTAATGTGCTTAATCTTTAAAGAATTGTATCAAAATATTTTTTCCCAGGGATGAGATCTACCCCGACCACTGCACTGCCAAGAGGCGTTGTGAAAGCATGTCCTCTGATGCTGACTTTCCCAGCATCATGGCCACTGGTCCAGATGTGAGGTCTCTGCGCGAGGCTGCCAGCTCCATCTCTTGCATCGAGGATGAGATTGTCTTTGCTTGAATTAGCTCTCCTGTATTTTTGTGGTTCATGTTACAGAGTTTCTTGTATGTTGTTGATACATGGTTTTAAATGGATGTTTCAGTTTAATCCTAATTGTCATTTGTTTGGTTACATTTTGGTTTTGTTTGTTTTTTCTGAAATCCATTTTTCTGCTGTTGATGTATTTTGATATTACAGAGATAATATATATTTTTTTAAACCCATTTCTTTTAAATGCTAGGACTACTCAAACCATCTCCCACGTTTAGCTCCCAAGTTGAGCCGTTCGGTTTACCATGAATTTCTCACCTTTCAGGGACCAACCCTACCATCTCTGGTCATTTCCTCACTCATTCCTTTTGCTGTTGATTTCATTAAGTATGGGTTGTTGGCAACTTGCCAATGCTAGAATCATCTGTAAAACATGGAACAATGTTTCAAATTTTTTTAACAGCTTAATTTAATTATGCATAACACATTTAAAGTCTTGATTTATATTTAACTAAGTTTGATATTGTGGCTTGTCGCTGTCAATATTTATGAAACCTTTTTGTATTTGTGTGTTCGTAAGATTTTCCATTTCATATCAGGGAACAGGTAGATGTAACTTGTCGTCATATTTTTTTTTTTAGGTAAGAAGCTTTTTTTGAGTTGGGGGTGGTTTTTTTTTCTTATGTTGTTGCTAATCTAGAGTTTTGATGGATTCTGGGTTTAGTTTAGTGGAATAAGTTGGGGCTGTACAAGCAGTGGGAAACGCCTGCGAACACTTGGCCGTTTGTCTAATGTATTATAGTTTATGTTCATTGTATTGTTTTCTCTCAATAAATATTTGGGGCTTTTCTTCCATTTGTTGTTACCTTTGATTCATGTCATGTCATTTGTATTTTGTTTTTAAAAAATGCAACATTGGCTCTACGCACTATTTTTTTCTCAGCAAGTTAGGTTCAACAGTTGATAGGCATTTTGTGTATCAATTTGTACAACTTGTAAGCCCAGAAAAACCATGACTGTATTGGTACTGCAGTGTTCAAAAATGTATCTTACTACCCGTAGCAAAATTGGTGGCTTCCACAAAAATATCTGCAGTTCGCTGGCAATGCTATGCTACTCCACTGTCTCCACCCACCCAGAATTGTGGATGCACTGTATGATGTATGTACAATCCAGTCTCCAGACATCATACAGTGTTGACTGCCAGCACAAGTTGAGTTTTCTAGTGGGATACTCAAATAGTTGAACAAATTGGGGCGTTACCTTTCAAGAATCATTTACTATTTTGTCACATGGTACAAATATACTGCCCTATAATATATGCTACAAAATATATACTGCCCTATGTTGGAGATAAGTGCCTTCATTCATCAACTGTTTGTGTCAAGAATTAACCCACTGATGGGGGCAGGCGATTGTCTGATTCCAGAATGGGTTGTCTTGATTCCCGAAAGGAGATGACTTAAGCATGAAGCTCACTATGTAACAGGAACTATGACACTGGTTTTCACTGGGTACTATTACCAGGAACTGACACTGGTTTTCACTGGGTACTATTACCAGGAACTGACACTGGTTTTCACTGGGTACTATTACCAGGAACTGACACTGGTTTTCACTGGGTACTATTACCAGGAACTGACACTGGTTTTCACTGGGTACTATTACCAGGAACTGACACTGGTTTTCACTGGGTACTATGTAACAGGAACTATAACACTACTATGACAGAGGTTTTCACTGGGTACTAATACCAGGAACTGTGACACTGGTTTTCTCTGGGTACTATTACCAGGACCTGTGACACTGGTTTTCACTGGGTACTATTACTAATGGACGCACCAGAAGCCAAACGGGAGCTATTGTCAAAACAGTCAAAGTTAACCAAACTAAAGCATACAACATGGCTACTCGGTCACAACCATCGGCGACCAGTGTCTGGAAAGTGTAGTCTCACTCTTCAAGGATCAGTAAATAGGTGTTTCCATGCTGACTTTAACTTGGAAACCCATGGTAACATTTCAGAGGACAGCACCAGTGGTTTAGCTGGGCTGACCTCTGTCCAGCGGCCTTGTTGGTCGACCTCTGTTCTGCGGCCTTGTTGGTCGACCTCTGTCCTGCGGCCTTGTTGGTCGACCTCTGTCCTGCGACCAAAATCAACACGAGGACTGTCGGCAAATGTGTAACATATAGGAGGAAAAAAGTTTTGACATAAATATTCTAAATCTACCTACCTGCTAGCTTGACAGGAACTCCCTTGTTCCCTTGTTACTAAAAATTTCTTGAAGCATGACGCCACGTACGGTACGGTACCCGGTAATGCAAATAGGAGTAGGAGTCCCAATTTTTGCTAACCCCCCCCCCCCTCATGATACGCCACTGCACTTTATTTGACGCCCATGAGCAAATACTCTGACATCCCCAACCACTTTTAAACCGATTTTACCGATTATTCCACTAGATTTCAATTGAGACGATTTCATGTTCCGACAAGATAAGTATTGCGCAGCTGGGTTAAAAACCAATCATTGAGTCATTTAGCGTACCGGTACCGTAGTTATCGGGAAGTGGATTTTGAGCGGTATTCGGAAATGGAAGCAGTCACACCATAAATAAAACATATATGTATGTAAGAATAAGAAGATTTATAAGAGTCTTAAGAGATTGTAGCGCACTTTTTAAGTCAACCAGCGAGCATTTTTTGGGGAAAACACAAAAGGCGCAATACGGTACCGGCAATAATTTAAACTTTTTTACTTCTTGGTGGTGTAAGATTATTATCATTAATATAATTCACAGTTTTAAAAAAAATATCCTGTAATTTGTAATTATAACACATTTTGGACGCATAGGTTAAAAGACCTTCGCACTTGTCCGCTGTAATATCTAGTCCACTTTTGACCCCCACCCCTCAAAACCTGGAAGCTGCTGTGCAGCTATGATTTATTGGTACCGGTACCAGGAGTTATTTCAAAAAATCTTAGTTCCAACATGGGAAACTTGCTATAAGATTTAAGATCAATTACTTGATCACTGGGATCCCAGCCCTATTAATTAATACAATCGTGTCCACCCCGATACTGGGTGATTAATATGGTACATAATGTATTGAAATTCATTGCGTCAATTATACCTACTTACTAATTAATATTAAATTTAAATAAAGAAATATTGTCTAAATTACTTTCCTGGCGTTGGTTACGTCCCTTTCAAGAAATTCAAGTCTTGATTTTCAGGGAATTTTTTTTTTTTTTTTTTTTTTAAAAAAAGTTCAGGGCCGGATTAAGCCAAAGCCACATGGGTGCCCTAGGCACACACCCACATGGGTGCCCTAGGCACAAACCCACATGGGTGCCCTAGGCACAAACCCACATGGGTGCCCCCGCCCCCGATCCTCCACTGACAGCTGGTATGTTCAATATTCTGCAAAACTAGCAAAGAAAAACAGTTGTGAAATGTAAACACATTATGTTTGTACTACTATCACTCATATCAAACCTACAATCAATAAGGTATTAATAGTTATTAATTTTGTAATAATAGTAGACAAAAATACTGTAACTTTTTTGATAGATAAGAAAGTCAGAGAGAGCACACATTTACATTTTAAGGTTCTTTGATTTCTAGATTTACGTCTGGCAAAGTTTTTGAGGACATCATCAAAGTTAATGTTGCGCAACAAGTCTGCCTCAATCATCAGCAAAGATAAGGAATCAAGCCTTTCTTGTTTCATTGTCGATATACTTGGATTTTTTATTCGTTTCAACTGAGAAAAAGAGCACTCGGTTGAACAGTTCGTAACCATTAATGGTAAAAATATGCGAATGGTGATTTCTACATTTGGAAAAACACACTCGATGTTGTCTCTAACTATTACTTTGTAGAGTTCTGCATGACTGAACGTGTTGTTCTCAGATTTTGATGCACGAAATTTGTGGCGAATATATGAGTGGAACTGTTGTAGCTCAGTATATAAATTATTGTTCAGATCTTCAGGATAATCATTTGTTAGTCCTTCACAACCCTGAGATGTTTGTGGTACATCGACCATACAAGAAAATCGAACTGCTAGATCATTATATACCTGTCCTCGTCTACTCATCTCTGTCTCAAGTTTGTCAACAATGGTGTAGAAAGCAGATATACGAAATTTGAAATTCGTCTCTGGCATTCTGTGATACCTCAGGGGTATCACCATCAATGACCACTGTCTTTCGTTTACGATTACGGGTCAAAGTTGACTTATAATCCACACCTGGTGTTATTTCATTTGCAGCTTCTTCAAATCTTTCAAATTCATTCCTAGATTCATGCAAGTGATCTGCTAGTGAAGAATACAAATCAGCACACGTTTTCAAGTTCACGTGCTTTAGTGCGATACGTAGCACAAACATCCCAGAAAAGTGAGAAAAAAAACAGCACCAAAAAACCTTGAAGAAAAACACCAAAAAAAACCACCTGGGTGCGGTGTATGTTAATGTTAGCCCTGGGTTGTGGGACCAAGGTGAAATAATGGGCCATTCAATATGACATTGGCGATTTGCTTATGCCATACAACTACGCTACCGGGACAATATACACATTTTTCTTGAGGGCTTGTGGTGCCCCACCCACCCCCACCCCCCCCAATGCTTGATGCATAGGCACTGCCTTGTTTGCCTAATGGTTAATCAAGCCCTGAAAAGGGGGAGGGCGCGGGTAGGGAGGGACTCGGGAGGGAAGGGTCTGGTGTTCACCCGATGTTGTGTAAACACAGGTTCTGTAAACAAAAACAATAGACATTGATATGGTGGCAGGGGTGGTACAGATATATTTAATAACATCCCAATATTAAAACATCCCTGTTGTTAAATGCTGATTCCCCCGTAATGATTATTTGCTGATGAGTCTGTGAAACCTTTGATGTGGTATGGTACCAGTAAGTGTGTGTGTGGGGGGGGGGCCTTTAAAGAAGACGATCTTTCATAAGATTTACTTTTTATTAACTCATTGCACACAATTATTATAAATACAAAATATAACAAAACTAAATTAAATTGTCCCTGACGTGAGAAGACTTCAAGAGCCCACGGGCATGATATACATTGCTAGAGAATATTGACCACTACAAATTAAGCAATAAAATTGAAAACAAATTCATATCAATGAAAAATAGTCGATTTTACAAGACCAAACCATTAAATTAAATCATGGACTAATATCAGACGGCCACACACACACACATTCATTCTTTACAGAAACAATTTAAAAAAAAAAATGAATTTTAAAAACCATGAATGGATAACCTCAATAGCCAACCCCCCCCCCCCCCCTGTGTTGATTCAATGTCATAAGTGTGTTAGTTGACTGAGCAAACATCTGGGTCCAAACAACTTTGTTCCAAACGAAATTATTGATTTGATACATAGGCAATTATTAATTTAAAAAAAGAAGACTTTTAAGCACAGCTTAAACACTGAATATTTGGGACCATGACCCTGATCAGGTGTCCAGGATCCACAGCGCAGAATGCAGCAGAAGCTGCATGTGTACAAGACTATTCAATATCACAGACAATATTAAGCAATCCTTAGGAATCAACTAGTCACAGTGGAAACCAAACTGGCATAGCAATTTGTTCATTAACTTAGTCTCATGTTAGTATTTATTAGCAAGACATCACATTTAGTTTTTTGCTGACTTGAAAACATGGCCCTGTAAATCAATGACTAGATATAGAATAGAACATTTATGTGTCATTGAAGATTGTCTTCTACTTCCATGTAAGGACGGTTGTTACTATGGCCGGTAAGGAGGGTTGCTGTGGCGGTTAAAGAGGGTTGCTACTATGGTGGGTTGCAGTGGTGGGTAAGG